TAAAAGGGCAGACCAGCCATAGGCAGCCATTCTAGGATTCTTTCTGTGATTTACTTGTTTACCAAGTATCTCAACAGCAAGATTCCCAACATCCATTGGCCGTCTGTTACTGAACAACTTCTGAACTACTGAAGAAGTAGGCTCACACAGCGGCCCCATGGATCCTCACGCACTTCAAGAAGAAGTCCATGTACCTGTACCTCAACTCCTTGGGAACCTCAAGACAAGGGGGGTGGCAAAAAGATTCCTTCTGTCACCCATTGTGGAAGAGGTGATAGAGATGGAGGCCATGATCGACACTGGTGCAGACATGACTTTAATGTCAAACATCCTGTTCCAGCAAATACAAACAGCTGTGGCAAAAGTGAACAGGACTGTGCAGATGGAGAACTGCACCAAAAAGATTAGAGGCTCTGCACCAGGGGCCACACAGATCAGAGACATTGCCCTACTACGACTGGACATTGGTCCCATGAGCCTCACTCACCCAGTGCACATATCACCGCTGGACACATTACCTTTCCTTATCGGCGCAGATCTGCTGAAGCGTCTTGAACCCCTGATTGATTTTCAGCAATCGAAAATCTGGGCACAGGTGGAACAACCCTTACCTGTGGGTGGAGCAGACAAGAAAGTCGCCAGCTGCAAGGAGGAGCTTCCTGAGAACAGGGAGAAACAGCTGAGCACGGCGACACAAAGAATGGGGGAGGAGATCAAGCTTCTCCAAGCACAGAACCAGAAGCATGCAGAGGTTGAGGAGCAAAATCGGAAGCTTGGAGAGGAGAAAAAAGAAATGGAGCTTCAGATAGCAGCCCTCCAAGAGCCCAAAAAACAGCTGGAGTCCATAATCAAAGACCTCCAGCAGAAAATAGAAGAATTGGAGGCCAAAAATAACAACCTCCAGAAGGACAAAGACGTCCTGGAGCAGGACCAGAAAGTGATGCAAGAGAAGGTTGATGTCCTGCTAGAAAAGAACAAGGAAATGGAGGCGTCGCAGAAACTTCTGGAGAAGGACAACGAGGATCTCCAGGAGCAGCTGGTGAAAAGACGCCAGAAGAGATTCTTCGGTCTCTTCAGGAGCTCCGAGCTGAAGGAGGAGGACAGAAAGCTCAAAAGAGAAAAGAAAGAGCAGAAACGACAGGAAAAGGAACAGCAGAGGCAGCAACGGGAGACAGAGCTGGACCAGAGGAAAAGATCTGAAGATAGTCCAGAAGCAGGAGAAGGAAAAGTTGGGTGCTTCAGTTGGTTTTATAAAACCTTCTGTACGAAAAAGAGAGAACTGTGAAGCCCTCTGGTCTCCACCTCCCATCACTCACCCATCCATCTCCACCTCCCATCGGCCTCCCATCTCTGCCCACCTCCATCCTCCTCCCTCCCCCTTCCTCCCCCTTCCAATTCATCAAGTAAACAATCAAACTAATCAAGTTAAGGTCAATACTGAATAAATCATTATTTTCAGAATTATGAATTTGACCTTAACTCCCCCCCCCCAAAAAAAAAACAAAAAAAAAACTTCAGTAACTCTGCCAGAGTGTCTCTTTGGGTCACTCTGCCGGTCCCAAGCCCGGATAAAGGAGGAGGGCTGAAGCAATTTCACTCTTACACCTATTTCAACAGAAAAATTTAAAAATAAACAAACAAAAAAAATAACAGAAGAATGTTCATTTGTAGTTCTAAGCATATTTAGTGCATTACAATCACATGCAAATGGCCAGTTATGCAAATTAGGCAATGACGGCACTCAATACACTGTTGAAAATTCATGACTGTTTTTTACTGTTTTTGAAAAATATTTTCAACAATTTACTGTTGAAAAAAACCCAAAAACATTAATCTGTAAAAAATAATAAAAAAAAAACTAAGAACAAAATCCCCAAAACCCAACAAAAATACAGACCAAAACTGTACATTATGTGTACATCAAAATCTGTATTTTTATCATTAGTAATTTGTGGTTTTACAGCAGCTGACCATAACATTACATTTTTTCAAAAAATTATTTTTAAATCTAAATGCTAAATAACTTCTGAAATAACTTCTGAAGCTGTTATTTCAAAGCTAAGATTTTGCAGAAAAATGTAAAATGTCTGTGGATTGACATTCTGTGTGTACATTTTTTTTTTAAGTGTGATAAAATAAATTTTTTAAAAAAACGTGTAAAAAAATATAACAAAATATGTAAAAAAAAAAAAAGAGAGAGAAAGAATTTTTTATTTTTTATATTCTAAAAAGACAAAAGCAGACGATGAATTCAAATTCATCAAATAAACAAACAAGAATATATTTCTGCATGTGTCTGCCTCTATGATACTATATATAATACATATATATAAATCCAAGCTATTTTTGTTTGTAAAAATCCTGTAAATGCAACCGGACTCTTGTTGCGTAGCAACTAGTAACGCTTTGAGTTAACCAACGTGTGAAGCCACAGCGGGACGCAACGTCAAGCTGGAGGGACTGTTACTATCTAACATCCGGTTATTGTCTTAAAATAAAAGCATTTCCGGTGAAGAGTAAAGGCAAATGTTTCACAGTATACTTCAATGCATGGAGCCAATTCGCACAATTACGTGAAGAATTGACCATTTTGTGTGTTTTAATTTATTTAAACAGATGCTACTGAATTTTACTTTTGTTCCGTGATTAAACTTTACTATGAAGGGCGATCCAACCGTGAATCTATGAGTGACTCAAACAGTCAAGTGACAAAAATCCAGGGACTTTTCAGCTGAACTGCTGACAGTGTTTTTAAAAAAAAATGTCAAACTTACACCATTAATCAGGCAGAAATGATAAAAACAGACAGAATCATTGGTTTTTCAACTTTCTAACAATCCTTGAACTCATCCTTTGTTAGTGGTTCTGCTCGCAAAATGAGCAAAATCTTAGTATCCGCATATACGTCTATGTGTTTACGCCCTGAGCTTGTGTTTGTGATTTTTGCTGTGTCCAGGTTTGATTGAAGACGAGGTTGTAGAGAACAGATGTCATTTTATTCACTAATGATGTGAGTGCAAGCGCGTTTGTAAAAGGGAGAACGAGGAAGATGCTGCAGTGAAGCAAAGGTTAAATCCAGTGAATGCGTGTTTGGAACAATATCTAGGATCTGAGTTTGTAACTGTGAGTTCCAGATGATTCTACTGAAAGTTTTTAGCACTGGAGCAGCATCCAAAGCTGAAAGCAGACATGAGATTGTCTGGCTAATGAGCCACCCAGAAGCTCCCTATTTACAATAAATGAATCAGTGAGACTGCAGCAGCAGCGGCGGCAGCACAGTCACTGAACTGAACTGAACTAAGCAGCAGTTATTCTATAATGTGCTGCGAGTGAAAGTTTAAGCACACATTTAATAGCAGAATAGCACAACACTTTATGCTGTTTATCTGATGGACGTCAGGTGTCCCAGTTGTACAAAATCATCACACAGGAAGCGTGCATGTACCTGCTCGGTTTTGCGTTTTCGGATAAATGTACTTATCCACAATGCTGCCACCGTCTTTGATGGCTTCAAAGCGTGTGGTAGAATTACAATCTGCATCACTGAAGAAAATGATGATGTGTTTGGAGCAGAGAGAGGGAGCTCGAATGATACCGTAAAGCAAAGCACAAATCATTGCAAAGCCCTCAAATCCAGATGAGATTAAACAAATACCTGGCCTTCTCTGTTGCTCGCATGATAGAAAAAAAAAATAATGTGCTCTCATGGTGCGACATTCAGCTATCAGCAGGCTGAACTGGTTTATTTATAGCTACTGTACAGCTGAGATGGCTTCTACAGCGCATAGATGGTGGGTCCTAAAAAAAAAACAAGACAGATTCAGTTTGCCCTAACTTAATAATGATAAGGATGGCTCAGAATGGTTGCATGAGCCAGAATGACCTGTCAATCAGCCAGTATCACCTCGCCAAGCAGAAAAACAACCTGCTGACCAGATACAATCAGATATCACTGCTCAAATGCGGGCCTGTTAAATCGTCACTCAGAGACGTTTCCAGACATCCAGCCTCCATTGTGACCAGGAGGGACACCCAATCATGTTGCCGATGCTCATAAACCTGCACGAGGATAAGAACTCCTGTGCGAGGCGGCGGTCTGGAGGGAGGCTGTTAACCCTGTGTGACTGGAAGGGAACAGTGCAGCAACACTTTGTCCCAAACTATTAGAACATTTACTTCTGGATTCTACTTGGTTGTTTTTCTCACTCAGAGAATGAAACTGGTTGATCAGTGCTGTATGTCCCAGTGAACAGTGTATGTAATTCTAAAAAAGAAAATTATAGTTCACATGACATCAACCAACAATTTTTCAGATACTGCAAAACGGTTTTAAATTACACAAAGTTCAGTTGTTGTTTGACAGAGAAAACTTCATTTTTCGTGGTTACTTAAACACATTTTGCATGCACACAGACTTGTGTTGCACTGTTACTCCACCATGACTCCACCCATCTGCTCACCAAACTGGTTGACAAGAAGGATGTCAGATCCAACAAAGTTCATTCATGTAACATGTTTTAAAACAACCTGAGCTGCTGTACATGATGAACAACAGTTAAAAAAAAATCAAGAAGTAAGATGGAAATCAATTTATAAAGCAAAATTGTAAAACAACAAATCGAAAATACAATAAAACTGCAAGACAAAGTGAGATTGTAAGATACATCCATCCATCATCTATACACCGCTTAATCCTCTCTAGGGTCATGGGGGGCTGGAGTCTATCCCAGCTGACTCAGGGTGAAGGCAGGGGACACCTGGACAGGTAACCTACGGGCAATTTAGAATCACCATGTTGTTAGACTGTGGGAGGAAGCCGGAGAACCCGGAGAGAACCCACGCTGCACTGGGAGAACATGCAAACTCCACGCAGAAAGATCCCGACGTCCTCAAGACCAGGGATCTTCTAGCTGCGAGGTGAACCACCGAGCCACCTTGCAGCCCGATTGTAAGAACAAATTCTAAAATTAACATAGAAAACTAAAACATTGAGACGATTAGGAGCAACCAAAAGCCATGTCGGTCATATAATGTGACTCACAAATGGCAGAAAAGGAACCTTCTAAAGCTCCAAGTTGGGTCACTGCAGCACCACTCCTCCATCTAACACGTAAATCTCACCTCCTTTGGGTGAATACTTGCTTTCTTGTAGACCAGATGCTCAGCACAAGGATGTGATGGTGAATGAGACGCCATAAACCCGTTCTATGACTCTGCCTGACATGCAGCCTCAGGCCCCCTATCAGGAGTCCATATCCGCTGACCCTCGCTCTGACCCGATGGGACGCCTTATTAGCGGCGTGCTGAAGCAAAAGGAATTCGAAAGCATTGGATTGGTGATAATTCTAATCAATAAGGCATTTAGCGGTAAGAGGATCCAGTGTTCAGGGCTGCGGTCGGAACCTTTTGCGACAGCCGATGCTTGGAAGTGCACAGGCAGGGTATTTATTCGTCTGCTATTCAGTAGTCACTGGAAATTTGTGGTGTAGTTGGGCGCATATCATGTATTGACTTCTGCCACTGAGTTAGGAGCAGGGTTTCCATTAGGGAAATCATTCAGGCTGAGAATGAAGCTCTCCCTCAGGCCACTCTGCACACACAGACCACAAGGGTGCTATTATTATAACCTTTTATATTACTGCTCTCTCCTTAAGCTCATCAAGAGCCAGCCGGAGTATGCATTTAATACTTTTAACACTTTTGGATTAGAAGACTTGCACCTGTCATGTCCGTAATATTCTCACAGGTCTAATCCTGCTCCTGAATAGGGAGACGAGCACTTTGTCAAAATGTGTTTTGTGCATTCCGCGCCGCACTTATTGGCTTGAATGCATTATTATTTTAATTCTGTGTTCATTGTTGACTGAACAGGAGCACAGTTTGCTGGTTTTTGTTTGTGTGCTGCAGTCGTTTTAAGTAAATAGCAGGGCATTGTGGGTCTTTTGTAAGAAATCCCTATAATGTAATGGAGAAAAGGTCTTTTCTGTTGATCCATTTTTCAAATAAAAGCCTCTCTGTGTTTCGTTCCTGGCTTAAAAG